CGAAATTTAAGATTTTGGCTATCGTGGCATTGATATTTATGTAGAAAGAAACATAACAGCATATTAAACCTTACTTGACAAACATGAAAAAGTAGGAGACACTACGAAATATTTAGTAAACAAATTGTAATCAACAGTAAAAAAGTTCTATTGCATGTTTCTACTCATAATCACAATGTAACCTAAAACTTAACTATCTACTACTGATCACAGCGTCTTTGTCAGCTTTGTTGAACTCTTTCGAACAATAATTAAATTATCGAAATGTTCAAGCTCATCTGTAACAATCAACGTAGGCTATTCCGTATATCCTTTCCCTAAATTGTTGTTGAAAATTTCATTTTTTTTTAAATTAGTAAATCTGATTGAAACATCTCGAATAAAATTTCAACAATACCTAATTTCAAAGACAACTGAAATTAATTATTAAATTGAAACTAATCGTTGTAGTAAAAGTAAGGTGCCAAAAATAGGAATTCATTTAGAAAACAAACTCTAACCTCAGTTTGTTTTCGTTTAGTTTGGCACAAAAATTGAAACCGTTTGAATTTAAAAAAAAATGTCATTACGGTGATTGGTCTCTTAATATTGCTAGTGATAACTATTATTTTAATATTAGAACAACTTAAAAATACAGATAAAAACTAAAAACTAGAACCATAGGATTATGTAATATTGTAAAACTGGAAATCACACGGTAGGTACTTCTAACAGTCCCTATAATTTGAAACGACATCTATCAGCGGTATTGAGAACTATCATCACATTATATTATATTATCTACTACGAGTCTATTATAAACGTTTTAAACTATAATATCAGTATCAATCTTCTTTAAAAGAAATTACCACGATACAGTGTCTGTAATTAGATTTTGTGACATTCAAACAATACACTATTAATTTTGCAGCGATAAATGTTGAAGAATTGAAAGGGACAACATGTTATTTAAAAAAATATGTTCAGTTTCACTCAGATGTGTTTCCTGAAAGCGAATGATAAAAGCAGATTCCCGCAGACAACCCATTAGGTTTTTCACCGGACCTTTTCAGTGGGTTGCAATGGGAATCTGGATGTTAGCGAAGTCTAGCAGGCTGAGCCCCGTGAGATTGTCTTCAAGCCCGGATGAGCTGACATAGCCCTTCAAAGCTGCCAGAGATTATCTAGGCTTACCAGAAAAAAGGGTGCGTGTACGCGCGTATTTTATTAATGTTTTATTTTATTTAAATTTTAATCAATTTGAAAAAAAATCGATTAAACAACATCCTCAAATACGGTTCGGAAAGTTCACCTGCGGCTATATTCAGACTCGCCAAGTTACGTCGGTCGTATTGTAATGAGCGATTTAGTGGGCAACTTCATTCTGTTAACTCTGTGTCACGGTGCGCGCGCATCGTAAAATTTCACTCTCATCAATTTTTCATAACGCGCCTAAAGAAGTATAACTTCAAAAATATTAGTGTAATTGTAATTAATGCGCTACAGAAACTGAAGGCGTTGTTAATATCAATAAAAAAAAAAAAAAAACTACAGCGTAGATTCCCAGTTATACAATAATGCACATTACTAGTATATTTAAAATATGAAACACAAATCATAGTAACTTGCTGATGAGATCGTATCATGTATACGTCAAACGACGAAACATTTCACAAAACAGAAATGAACCAGTCATCTTCGATTTGGTAGCACTATAATTCTTAACATTAATTAAACTCTAACATTCAGTAAAGATTATAAACTACAAAATAAAACGTGAAAAAAGTATTTGCATTCAATACAAATTCAAATAAAAATTTAGAGTAGAGTAGTAGAGACATTAAGAATAGATTCAAAATGAATCTTAAATGAAGTGAACGTGATCGTTCACGGCTCCAATGCTATCTTCAGACAAACGACTCGCTTGAAGTGTTATCGTTCATCGTACCACTAAACTGGCAGCTGTAAGCACAATCACGTTACTAAAGTGCGTAGAGGATCTACTAGAAACACTAGATCTCTACCTCTACTAGTGAGCGGAGTGCCGCTCTATCGATATTGAAACGTTATAACGTTTATAACAAGATGTTATTCAATTTCCATAACACAAACACGAATGGGTCTTGCACACCCTAAAACAGATCCTTACAATATGTAAGAAACACATCACTATGCGAACAAAACAAGAAAGGGATTGACCTTTTTGGTTATTTCGATCGAATCTCGATACTAAAACAGAGTATGTACTAAAAGAGATAGTTTTAAATCATCCTTCAATTATACGGCATGTTGGCAAATGTGCTTATTTTGGCAAATCACATTTCTTGAGTGGTAACTTTTGATAACTAGAGTTTATTGGCAATACTAATCTCATTTTGATCGCACGTCGCAAAACATCTTAAGAACTCAGTACCGAAATCTATAGGCGGTTTTTGGACCAGCAAAAATCACCATTAAATCCACTTCGATAATGGGCATGTCCATTCGAAGTAAAATATATCTACGCATCAGGTAAATAGCATAGTATTTACAACGACAGATTGTTTATTCAACCAACAATTACCGTACACGCGGTTGAATTATTATAATTAATTGCGAACCCAAGTCACGATCGCGTGATCGACGAATATTTATATTTAATTTAAAATTTTTGGGTTCCTCGAATACCACTACATAATTAAATTTAATTGAGCCAAATAATGTGCACATGGCTATTTTTAAACAAACATATTAAAATTTGAAGTACATGCACGAATTGGGCGATCCACTAAACTACGTTGAAACATCAACGCGTAAATACATCGATAATGACAAATTTAATTACGATTAACACTAAACAGATCCATTAAGACATTACTAAGAATAACCGCAATTAAATAAACTTGATTCCAAAGTATCGTAAACTAAGGAATTCCGTAAGTACATGACGTATAAGTACTTTGATGATTGAAAAACGATTTCGATCAATCGTTCTTTCGAGAACAAATCTACACTTAGATCCTAAACAATTTAATTCATTTACAAAAAACATAATATACGATTTCGATCATATTAAATTTGTTTTTTTTTTATATTTTTATGAACGAAACTCGTAATTACCCAGGAATTCAAAGGGCAAAATTAACGTTAATTAAATTCTATAAAACATGTAGATACATGTGTTCGTTTAAAACACTGATTACACAGAATAAATGCAAAGCTTTAAACATTATTAAATGCAAAAAACATTAACTCGACACACTTAAAAAATAAAAGCATTCAAAGACTTGACCATGAATACGACGCAGTCTTTCGTATATATCAAATGAACTGTTTATTCATTTACTTCAAATATATGAAGCGAAGTTGTTTATTCTCTAACCAGTTATTAAGTCTCATTTCTACAGAAAAAAAAAAAACAGTGAAAAACATAGATGCGCTTCGACGTACCTATTTGTGGAAACGAATTTTTGACCGACTTTTAAGGTAGAATCTTGGTTTTAGTCTGTCACTTTAGTTCGAATAAAACTCAGATTGTTTTTGATCCGTTAAAAAGCTAAGGCTAGACGTTCAATAAATATCACTATATCGAGTAACGTATCACATGTAATCACAACAATTACTACACGTTTCAATATTGGTCGCCTTGGTATAAGGTATGGTTTACACGTGGTAATACAGAGTACATAGTATTATTATACGAAATACGATACAAATGAAATTAAATCATACTATTGTCATCAGTGTGCTCAAGTCTTATGTAAACAATTGTAGACGAGTAGATTTTTATTTATTTACTTAAATACCTACTTATGAATTCAGAAGCATACGTCGGTTGATGACGTTTGAATTGAGCAAATAAAAATATCATTTTAACGAAACTAAAGAATATACAGATATATTCACTTGTTTGCTTGATAATTGTTGAGGCTTGTATGGTTTTAGATGGAAAAAATATGAAATTAAATCGAGTTTACGACGAGACATTTCGATAAATGTCAATGAAGACGATTAAATCTTACTCTAGATGCGTGATTAATTGAATCGTGAAAGTCCAGCCTTCGCGGTAAAGTTAGGTACTATGTGATTAGAATTATGATAGATTCATACTAGATAATATTATGTAAACATGGGGATTGATATTAACTATTACAATACTATTTATCGAGTATAAAAATTAGAAAATATTTTCATTTAAAAAACATTTTTTTATCTACAAATTATACTTATGATAATGATTTAATTTTCGAATTATTAATTATTGATAGCAATATTAGTTCAGACGAGGTAAACTAAACTATCTAAATTAAGTATTATTTCATATAAATAGATCGGATCAATGTTCAGAGATGTATTTAATGTAATTAATGATTTAGAATCACAATTTATACGACCCTGCAATAAATTTTACTAATAAAATCAGTCAGGAAATTTAATCATAGAAGTAGAATATAATATGGCTAAAATAAAATTATAAAATTGGTTTTCTAATATTTACGCAGAGTGGATACTCAAGACGCGGCCAGCAACGGGAGCTACAAAAGGTAATCGTAAAAAAATATGTATCATTAAATAAAATGATAGTTCAGTTCGAATAAAAATGTGTTACTTTCATAATTACTGAATTATCAGTATTCGAATCATGGTTTGTCTTTTGAGAACTGAATATAATGAACGAAAAAAATTGCATTATTAAATTTGTTTTTCCTTGCATTCTGTACATTTTTACTAAAATCAGTTAATGCCAATAAAAATTAACTCAAGCAAAATCAACTCTTAAGACAGATTTCCTGTAGCTCTAAAATAGAAAGAACCACAGCTGTTACCCCGTACCGAGTATCCTCCGTGTATATTAAGTTAATCTAAATAGAATAGTGAATGTAAATCTAAATAATTCACAAAACTACATATTACTATAATATTATTATAACACCACTACATATAAAAATTACATACACTCAGTATTTTACGGCACAAATTTGATTAATCATTAACTAGTATTCAGTAATATAATTTACTAAAATAGTAAAGATTTAGATTATCATAGTAATATTAATTGATGTTCTGAAATCTGACATCCACGTGAGATTTCCATGCTAATGAAATAAAATTATTCAAAAAACCTTGAGATACATATGCACACTCAGAAACTACAGCTTAATTACACGGGTAATGTTTTGTTATCGATATTCACCAATCAATTCGTCCCCACAACACTAAAATCGGTCCGTCCGCCTCGTTTCGCTGAAAAGTCTTAACGCCTGCACGAATCCAAATGTTTTTTTGCCCACTTTATAAGGAGCAAACCGGTTAGAGAAATCTCGCTTCATCCACGCTGGACCCAGTGCTCGGTGTGGTTGAGCGATCGGCGGAAACCGAAGTGAGCTTCGGTGGTAGCCGCGATTTGATCTATGGCCTCAAGTGTACGAGAGACAGCGGTAAGACGCTTCATCAGGCATCGCGTGGAAAGTATCAGTACCTGTGCGATGAAACGGTTCACATTGTATATGGACAACTTTTTTTTAATTGCTTACATGGGTGAACAAGCTCACAGCCCACCTGGTGTTAAGTGGTTACTGGAGCCCATTGACATCTACAACGTAAATGCGCCACGCACTTTGAGACATAAGTTCTAAGATCTCAAGTTTAACTATACTTGAGACCTTACAGTGCTCTAAATACTTGAGACTCGGTTTGTAGGGTGGGGCAGCCATTGTAGTTAAAATGGCTGCCCCACCCCACGCATTACTGCTTCACAGCAGAAATAGGCAGGATGGTGGTACCTACCTGTGCGGACTCACAAGAGGTCCTACAACCACTTACACTTACAGTTACACTTAATAATGTAACAGATGTTCATCTTAGTAAGACCAATACTGAGAGTTTTTGTTAAACGATTAAGCCTTTTATTTATTTTTATTGCTTAGATGGGTGGATGAACTTACAGCCCACCTGGTGTTAAGTGGTTACTGGAGCCCATAGACATCTACAACATAAATGCGCCACCCACCATGAGATACAAGTTCTAAGGTCTTAAGTGTAGTTACGATGGCTACCTACCATCAGTAAATCCACTCACCTAAGCAATACAAAATTTTTCTAACGTAAAAGATGTACGACTCTGCTCATCTTAGTAAAACCAGCATTGAGAGAGTTTGTTAAATGATTAAACCTGAGACTCTGATGTCTGAAGGTGGCTAGGATTCCGATGTTGATGTCTACGGGTTCCGGTAAGCCATCTAGCGCAAGATCAGCCGTGATCTCGTTTTCCGATCTGAGCGTAAACAAAAACACGATCAGATAATTTGAACTTTTTATATGTACCTTGATCTCAGTTCGGAGCGGCAAAATGGCGATAAGCCACCACAGCCAAGCGGGGCCGTCGGGAGTCCTCCACCAAGTCTCGTCCATTTGCGGCATGTTACCGAAAGCGGAAACGATTTCCGAGTAGACCGTCTCGTGCATGCTGTTGAGCCAGCTCAACGCCTTGTAGCATATGTGTACGGCGGTTACCCGCAAATCGCATATCTGGATCGAGTCCTCGGGTATCAGATCGGTGATCACCTGGACGCGTGCGATGTCGTAACTGAAATTTTTGTGTTATAGTATCAATTTTGACGGTATGGTAGTGCAAGGTAGAGGGGTAAGAGGTCGACCGAAGAAGACATGGATGGAGTGTGTGAATGACGATATGAGAGACAGAGGAGTGAGTGTTGAGATGACAGCTGATAGAAGAGAATGGAAGAGAAAAATAACTTGTGCCGAAACCACCTAGTGGGATAAGGTAGAGAAAAAGAAGAGTATCAATTTTGACAGTCTTAACTCTTAGAACTTAGTCGATAGATCGACTTTCTCTTAATAAGTATAAAGCGGGGAGCGTCGGAATATCGACGATTGCGCGGTTTGATTATAGGTATTAGATATCGACCTATACGGACGTGTTTTAGCACGTGCATATACTATATAGATTTTAATCAGTTAATAAGATTTATAAATATCCATTTAAAATTATTTTACATTGAATTTAGCATACTTTTTTCAAAAAATTCTTTAGCAATTTCTGCAAAATATCTGAAAATAAGCCCAGCACTAAAAGGGTTAATATGAATTTCGATAACGTCTTATTTATTACTGGCAAGTGAAATTATTACGTCATAATTCATGATGTCCATAATAATAGGGTTCACTACCTACCTGTTTAACATTAGTCAGGACTAAGATATTCTTTTTTTTTAATAAATGGTTCCAACGCCTTAGGAATTCATTTTGCCAATGCCACAGTATAAACAAACCGGTACTTAGAGATTTTTTTTTAAATCTAATTACTAATAAAATTTTCTTATATTATTATGTATATAGTAGTAGTGTTTGAAATGAAAACCATATTTTTTCTAAATAAAACAAATTATTCGATAGTGAATTTCTTACCCATCACGGACTCCAGTTTCGAGCACTCTGAATCTTGAGACGCCTACAGTCGACAATATCGATCGGCCGTCCTCCATATGAATGCAATCGCAAACTTGCAAAATCTAAATTTTAATAGACAAATCGTTTTTTAATATAAAGTTATTTCTAACGACAAACTACTTAATCGTGTCATTCGTTTTTATTTACTTAGCATGCAATGTACAACTAACTTAAAACTAAATGTTGCGCAGAATCTATGATGGCGGAGAATGGCAGTGTGTTGTATTCGCCTTACATTGCCGCTCCACAAAATATTAATTTATTAAAAAACTGCAAGTATCTATGCTTAGTTCGATAAATGAATAATCTACTTTTGTGCAAGAAATTTGTAATTTGTTCCTATTTCGGCATTGAAAATCCTTCAAATAATCCAATGCTGGGCGATTTGTCCTTGTCGTTAATTATCAAGACTTAAGATTGTTTGGCAAAACTTAACGAATATGAAATACCAGACTATCAATAAGCTTCATTTGTTCACACTCAAACAAACTATCGAGAACTTAAGTGCAATATACGAACGACAATATAACATATAAAGGCTTTGTGTTGAATTACCGTGCCATATTCTGATCCGCCGCCATTCCTCTCACAGGCCACCATTCCGAATTTACGTGTTTCCGACTCCAGCACACGACGTACCATTAAACGGTAGCGCGGATCAAAAATAAACAAGGGACACGGAATCCTGTACACAAAAAACATACATCTTTTGTTTTACTATGTTTGGGCAATGAAAATAGAAGGAAAAAAGAGTTAAATGAGGCGACCGTGCGGTATGAATTATAAGTCGCACTAGGGTAGTAACGAAGATATAGTAACTAACTTTCTTATTATTATCTATTATATTTATCGTAGTGAATTTTTACAAAAAAAAAAAAACACATAATTCGAATGTAATTTATAAGGACTAGTGTTTTATATCTATATTTAATTTAAACAAAACAGTAATTAATTTAAAACCTCACGCTAGACTTGAATTTTTGAACATAGCTTAGAGACGAATGACTTTACCAGAAAGTTGGAGAAAGAATAATTTCATTACCTATTACTTACTAAAAAAAATAGTACAATAAATATGATCAACGTTACTACTACTAAACCAATAGACGTGAAATTATTTAAATATAAAACCTAAATTTTAATCACAGCGCCATCTACTAGAGCGAATTATAAATCTATAAAAGCGAAATCTTCGTCAATTCTAAACTTGAAATTTTTATTTATTTATTTTTTATTTATTAGATGGGTGGATGAGCTCACAGCCCACCTGGTGTTAAGTGGTTACTGGAGCCAATAGACATCCACAACGTAAATGCGCCACCCACCTTGAGATATAAGTTCTAAGGTCTCAAGTATAGTTATTCCTTTGCGTGTTACTTTTTTTAATAGTACTTACGATGGATAGGCGACGGTGCATATAAAAATCGGCATCACGTTTGGGTCCGGTGGTGGGGGTGGTCTCAAAGCACCGACCGAAGCGAGCATAGCACGAATAAATATGGTTCCACCAGTCTAAAGGGGAAACAAGAAATATTCATTTCAATTATTTTGTTTTTTATTACAAAGCCATCAAGGTTTGGAGTTCGCGTCTTAAAGTGGAATTCACGTTGCGATGCCTATGAATACGTTTATTGTTTTAGTGCAATAAAAACACCAGTAAATCTTATGTAAGACCTACTTATAGTTGATAATATTGTCTTGAATTTTATATTCTACATTACAAGAAAGAATTTTTAATTATATTTTAATTTAATAAAAAAAAATGCACTATAAAACTGCATTCCGAATCCTCGATAAAATCATGTGAAAGTGCTTGTAAGGTCTCTACATTAATGATAACTTATCGTTTATATGCATGAACTGAACAAGTGACCTCGTCTGATCAATTATCTTAAAGAACTGTTAATTTAAATCATGAATACGGTGCCTTATGTATCTGAATCGAGTAATGAATATAAGAGTGTGTCAGTACATACTGTGGATAAGTCGAAGTCATTCAACGGCCGCAGACACAAAGCGCACTTTATGTTGTAGTCCATGGACCTTTCAACGCAGGTGCGGCAGTAGGTGTGGCCGCACGGAGTGGTCACCGGATCCACTAGTGTGGAGCAGCACAATACGCAGTTGATATCTGAAGACTTCAGCCAACTACTGGCGGCCTCTTTGCGAACAGCTCTGAACAGTACGCGCGTAAGGCGACGACCGTTTCTATTCTGTATCAGTACAGCTATAGCCTGCAATAAATATTGAATTAGCAACGGCTAGCATCCATAACCTTTACTTGTGGTAAGACCTCTTCGGAGTCCGCACGGTTAGGTACCGCCACCCCGCCTATTTCTGCCGTGAAACAGTAATGCGTTTCGGTTTGAAGGGTGGGGCAGCCGTTGTAACTATTCTTGAGACCTTAGAACTTATATCTCAAGGTGGATGGCGCATTTACGTTGTAGATGTCTATGGACTCAAGTAACCACTGAACACCATGTGAGCTGTGAGCTCGTCCACCCATGTAGGAAATACAAAAACAACTTAGCAGTTAACACGCCCTATATATTCGTATAGATATGACATGAGCGCACTAAATTTTTGAATGCGAAGAGCTTAGAGGAATCGTTCTAAAATACAATGAAGAGTTTAACTTCATGTTTCGGCATTCTAGTTACGTCTATGAGCTCCGATGAACACGTAAAAACAAAAGCCCATCTTAGAACAAAAAAGATAATCAGTAATAATACCAATATCGATTTATTTCGTTTGAGAATGCTGTTTTTATAGGTCCACAATCGTATAAACCATGAATACCAAAATTTATTTCAAACGTAGTCCTAGTTTTGTCTATGTAAATTAAATGAAGAGCGACACGTTTCTAGGAATCAGTGTATTTCATATACAGTCAAACCTGGGTAAGTGAGAAAACTCTATAAGTGAGAGTAATAGCCAGGACCCGTCGTTTTAAGCTCCCAAAACCTCTATTAGCGAGAAACAGAAACCTCTGTAAGAGAGAGTCGTTTTACCCTCATGGACCTCCGTAAGTGAGACTGTTACTTATCTATACCTCTATAAGCGACAGTCGAGCTTTTTTAGTTATATTATTTAGGAGAAACAAATACCTGTGTACCGTCCTGTTTGTCGGACTTACTCAGTTTATAGTTAGTCAATTGCGAAGGAAAGTTTTGTTCTGCATCTTGTCAAAACGGAAAATTAAAGTACTGTCATTAAGTGATAAACTTAAAATAGTGAATGCATTTGAATCCAGAAAATCGCGAAATGAAATTCAGAGGGTGCATTAGCAAGAAACTCGGGTTAGTGAGAACCCTCTCTCTATAAGCGAGAATGAGATTGTGCTCCCTTGAACTCTCGCTTATCCAGGTTTGACTGTAAATAGTTTAGCGGCACTGAATGAATAGTATAAAGAAGGGGCGAGTGTTTATATTTACCTGTGTGAGTAAAACACGTGCTTGTCTCGCGTACGACTCGCTAGATGCCGCTATGTGCGCCAAATGAGGCGCGGCGTCACGGTAGCGCCCCATCGTGAAGAGTTTACGCGCGAACTGATAACGAATCTAGAAAATTAACAAGAAATTATTAAAAAAAGTATATATACATAATACATATCGACGCTTGAAAGGCAAACGTGACTAAGCGACATTAACTGCTTTATACATAAATTATAGGCAATAACTATATTCGATGCGCAAAAAAAATATATTTCTAGGTCTATTAAAATCATTTAATTTTCAATCCTACAGCTAGATTCGTTAAGATTGAATTTTTTCAGGTATTTCAACTTTAAATTAGTCTACTGTAAAGTTCACGTATTGTCGCTTAGTCACGTTTGCCTTTCAAGCGTCGATATGTNATAGGCAATAACTATATTCGATGCGCAAAAAAAATATATTTCTAGGTCTATTAAAATCATTTAATTTTCAATCCTACAGCTAGATTCGTTAAGATTGAATTTTTTCAGGTATTTCAACTTTAAATTAGTCTACTGTAAAGTTCACGTATTGTCGCTTAGTCACGTTTGCCTTTCAAGCGTCGATATGTTTATACTTAAATTCGTATTATGCAATCTAAGCCTGTAATTTCGAGCTTCAGTTCTGTGTGCTTGGTACAAGTTTTATAACTTCTTGACCGCGTAAAAGTTAGCTCAAATTTGTACGGAATTGGAACAGTGCCCCTAGCGGCAAACATAGAACTTAGAAGTTATAATTTTTTTCTCTTCTTATTCGTTAACTTACCCGTACTACACATCCGTGAGCTCACGGGCTCAACCCGAGAGAATTTGCTAACATTAGCCCTAGCAAGAGCAGTGCTTCGCAGAAACTACCACCGAATCGAAATTGGAGCCCACTGAGAAAATCCGGCGAGAAACTCAGTGGGTTGTGTCTATGGGTTAGTTCGCTTGTCGTAAGAGTTCGATAAGGACGGTGACCGGTGCACGAGGGTCCTAAAAGCACCGAGACTGAATCCGGGGGATGCGACAAGACATGTTTCGTGCGACGACGGTTTTGCGTTCCCCGTTGCGGTCGGATAAGGGTAGAAGTTAAAACATTAAAAACCTCGCACTAAGCACACTGTCGTTTCGCACCACTCTTAGTCCATGCTGTGCTTGTACTTTAATTTCTCAGTATTTTTAATGTCAATCAACAGTCATAAATCAAAAAGACATTTATGTCCTTGTTTGTAAACAGACTAAGCGTTGTTTGTAAAGCACCGAGAAATTATGGTCAAATAAATTTGTAGGTTATACCAAAGTGTTGGAAGACCACTCCCGATAAAGCAATAAATTATACACTTAATACACCAATCGTTTGTTAATCCAAGCGTTTACTTGACGTGTTAGTAAGTTCATACCGCAATTCATTTCTTGTTAAAAAAATTCATCTTTTTTCTTAGTAAAGAAGTTTAGTAGAACATTTTTAATATGCCCCTTTCACAGTTCAATATTCGAATGGTCATATTTATGAAAAGGGTTAAAGTGAACGAACTTTTTATTGTGATTGGATAAAATAAATTTCATAATGTATCCCATTGAATGCAGTTCACCAAGTTTCAGTTCGAAGGAATAAGAAAGGGCAGATGGAATCCAAAACTATAAGTAGCAGGCGTCTATCTAAAAGTGTTGCTCGGAATTGCAGCTATTAACGAAAAAGACGGAAAGTGCGCGACGAACAACGTATAATGAACGCTTCCGCAGTTGATAAGAGCATTTTAAATTCAACGTGGACGGTTAAAATTCAAAGTGCCCTAAAATTTATTTCTCTAAATTTCGAAACACTGTTTTAGCTGCAAAGAATGAGTCTATTTTCTATCTACTACCAATAGGTATTGCCTAATATTAAAATAGTTGACATATGGATAGAACAGGATTATAATTACGCTATCGCAAACACACAAGCCTATAGGGACATTTTGCGGAATTGAAAAACTTTGAGAGCCTGTGATCTCCCTAAACACAATGAGGAGATTTTAAAACAAACACTAAAAGATCAACTCTGAATTCTTACTTCAGGAATATTTTAACTGGTAAACTAAAGCATAATACATATTCGAAGCGCTAGAAGCTTCGATATCTTTACATTACATAATTACAATTGACCAACCACCCACCCAGTAATACACTCTAGATACTAGAAAGTCAACCGAACTGGTCATTATTTTTTTATCTTTATGCCCTTTGATACTGGGATTATCTTGAGAAAGGTAAAATGTATCTGACATTCAGTAATAACGAGCATTTTTTTCTTTTAATTTATGCAGATGCTCATTTTTATAGCGATAAAACAGTGTTTTTGTTGCAACTGTTATTATTTTCCAGACAAATGTTAATAGAATTGTCTAGAACGGCGCCAGTTGTAATTACATTGAAATCCTGACACCTCTTAGAGATTGGTTGAGCTGCCGACAATTTTGTAATTACTTTACTAGCACCCCAGACAGCCTGAGGAAATTGGCATACGGCTTCCGTTCAGATATGACGCGAACGATGTAAACGAAGACACTCTTAATATTTATTTATTTATTGCACACTAGTGCAATAAATTGGCACACTCAATATCAAAAGAAATCTTTATTAATGAACCAAGAGCAATGCAGAAAACGAAGTAGTAAATGCATTGGTTGATATAATAATCTATGTATATTTTTTAAAGGTTATTGAGATAATATTAATTTTAATACCTAAATATATAGATTTTTTATCGCTTAAATGGGTGGACGAGCTCACGGCCCACCTGGTGTTGAGGGGTTACCAGAGCCCATAGACATCTACAAAGCAAATGCCGTCACCCACCTTGAGACATGAATTCTAAGGTCTTCATTTTTACAGTACAGTACAGTTTTTATATACGTAAAAGATTCTACCAATTTAGCTGAAACCACTTGTCGACCTCTTAATTTAAACGCAGAACGAACAACGGCTACTCTGAGAAAACACGGCACAAGGAAAGAAAAACCGGCAATTTGTTAGAAGAACTTATAATAGTTATCTCATGACTAAAGTGAAAATACTGAAAGTAAGGACTCTGATGGAGGAAAAGGTAAAAACGTCTACAGAAAAAATAAAAAACGACTTCAACAAACAAAATTAGGATATTATCAATGAGGTCTAGTCTAATGAAATAAGCATTATTAAAAATGACTCAAAAATTATACCTCAAATTTTGTTAAAAATCAACATGAAATCCACCAGCTTTCAAATGAAAAGGACATCCATAAAATAGGTTTGCCTAGAAAGGTTTCTAAGATAACAAACATTTAAAAAAACAGTCGAATCGAGAGCTTCCTTTTGAGGTCGGTTAAAGAGTCATCAGTTAATTACAATATTATGTCAGACACGACATTGATTTCATTCAGGCTTTGACGTACTGACCGACAGTTTAAAACAATAACTTCTCTACTCTTTGTTTTTCATCTGTACGTGATTCACTTTATAAAGCTAATTGAATTGTAAATATGACCTACAGGCGGCCTAAGTCATGGTTGACATTACAAATTGTTCATTTTATGATTTTACATGTACATTTATGTAGTTCGTATTTACTGACAGGCCGAAACTTCAAATATACTCATTTAAGGAGTCGCCCCATGTGACTGTGATGGGTTAAAAATAGTTTTTTTTAATGACTTCTTAACACGTATAGAATTAGTTGATAAAGTTATTTACTAAAATCCTAACTCGTAGTCTCTATAATATGATCAAAAATAACATATCTAAAAATACTGAGTATTTCATTTATTTTCCTAAATTTTCAAGTGATTCTAGGTCATTATTCCATGCATTTAGGCTTCTAGATTAAAATGCTGTTGTTTTTATCTTTCAGATATGCTAATCAGTCGAAATCATTGAGAAAGTTAGAGTCCTTGTTTATGAAGCGGGTGTCTTCAGAGATATACAACTTCGGTTCTAATGAAGATTGAAATTTGAAATTTCTTTCATATAATTTTAAGAGAGCAATAAATAAATGATAAACAAAAACACAGCGATACCTTTTCATGGTTCCTCAAAAAAAAAAAACAGTCATAAGGGGCGACCTGCTTAAAGTGAAAATTTAGGCAATTCAAATAACTTTGATTTAAAAAACGTGCGGGAAATACATTGACCAGCTTCAAGAGTAAACCAAATCTTAACCAGAATCATTATGCAGTTTTCTTTGAACAGATATCGAATTTATAAATGCGTCTCATCTTAAGTTAGTTAATAGCCAGTTTACGTCTATAATTGTACTCCTTGATCATGTTGTGTTCTTAATGCTGTTGTATGGACGATGACGCATCAAGTTTTGATTACGGTTTAGAAAAAATATCGGGAACTCCTATGAATGCAATTGAAACAAGTAATGCCACTAAAATTTCGTATTTATATCGGGTATGACGAGTTAGGAGTATTTTCCAGAAATCTCGAAACGACAATTACTCATCTTCGTAAAATTATTTTCGTGTCAGTTAGGAACAAAAAATCTAGACAGGAAACGGAAGCGAAGCAGCCGCGAAGCAGAACGTCTAGGGAATTTCCTTCCCGCGATGAAATTTTCACTTTGTGCAGCATAATTGTATTTTCTTACCTGTAATGGAATTAGAATAGACGGTGAAAAGCTTATTTTCCTGTCTTTCGTTTTCAGCGAGCTGTTTAAGAGGGCTTTCAGGATGTGACGGTTCCGTTTCGATTTCCGCCATAAGACGTAGGACTTGTTGACTGTGAACAACACAATAAAATGGAAATTAATAATAATAATAATAATGTATATTGCCTTGCACTTGAACAAAACTAATATTGATCAATATCGAGATGTTTGTTCGGTTATTTCACTGTTCACTTTTTGGAAGATTTAGAGGAAATCAGTTTGATTTAATATTATTAGGTTATCTCTACTTGCAACGTTCACAACATTAACATTCCGGGTTTTGAAAATACTTATACAATCATTTTTCTAAGCTTAATAATTGTATATAATGATCTTCAAGCAACATAGACGACTAAAACTAATAGATTATGAAATTTTAGAACTTAAATATAGGTTAAAAGTTAAATGAACCGGCTTGTAAATTTCAATTGTTATATTCAAGCAGAAAATCATAATAACGGTCATGCGCCAACATAATGTGCGTAGTAAACTTTACATTAAAACATTGATTAGACCGATATCACGAATATTAGTAGCCAAATACATCTTGTGACATTTTGTTCGCATAGCTACATAATACTTATATAACTTAGCAATGAAGTCAGAGTTTGTGTTTAATTATGTAACCAGCTTGGCATTAGTTATGAGAGCAAGGCGTTGTGTCTTACATTCATGGTCACGTGCAAACACGCGATATTGTGTACAACGAAGAATTAATTTCATTCTCTTTTGTTGTTTGTGATGTTTTTCAATTTCTTTGTAGGTAAATTACGTTGTTAAATTAAATAATTTATAGCATAAAAAAAGGTTTATTCGAATACATTGTTTTAAATTACCTAAAAACCTATGTCCGTTAAGGTAAAATAAAAATAAAATCGATCCCACGCGCTGCCATCTTTGGTAACCTTCAAACTTCGCTTAAATCGCTCTACGCTTATACTGTGACCATTATTGAACAATTATTCAAGTTCGTTGTCGATGTAATTGACAAAGACATGAGCCTATCTCACTAGGGACATTAAACTATGGGTTTATGAACTTTCCATCGAAGGAGTGAGTACAAATGACATCGCACGGGTCACTAATTACCATATAATTAGCGCAGTTTGACGATTTTTTCTTGTTATATAAGTTGCATCAGCTTGTATAGAAATCGAGCCAAAAAATGAAGCAAGCTATTGCTTTTAGTGCTGTATTCACAGTAGAGATCTGGGTCCACTATTGTTTAGCAGTTACCGAAACGCATGAACTATTTTAACTCAAGTATTATATGAGTCGTCTATTATCAAAGGTGGCAATCTGTGCATTTGGACAAAAAATGTTATTGATATGTCAATACAGATTGATTTGAATATAATCGTCTCCTTCAAAGAATACGGTTCAAAACCTGCATTAAATAAAGGTTAATAGTTAACCTGTTATTTATCTAAGATGTCGTTCCGAAGAGTTTTGTGACTGCCAATGGAATACAAAGTCAATAATTCGTTTTTCTGATTTACCAATATTGTTCAAAAGTCAGATTGCCGGCTTTGATAATAGACGACTCATATGTAAGTATATACGTTGAATTATTAGGAAGGAGCTAGAAAAATCATTGCAACTATAAGAATAATAATTGTTGATTGATTTAAAAATGGTATACCCTATGTTTGCCAATAGAAAGTATTAGTTTGTTTTTTCGTTATTACTCGAAAATAATTTAATAATATTGCAAATAAAATTTATAAATAGAACATTTAGTCAATGTTTTCAACTTAGACGTGTGTAAGCATTTGTATTATCAGACGTCAGAATAATAGTCGTGGGAATCAATGATATTATTTGTTCTACTTCAGTTTAAATTAGATTTTCAAAGTTACAAATACTTTAGCTTAATTTGTCGCGGATGATGCTCTGTTGTCATTAAAATGCTAAAACATTTACCGGTTGATGGGCGTGTGTTGTGGTTGTAAGCTTATTGTTTTGTACAAACGGCGTCCAAGCGATAAAACCTTTTTATGCTTGCCCGCCATATGTCATGCATTCGTCTACTTATCCATGTCAATTTTTACTGGTGGTAGGACCTCTTGTGAGTCCGCACGGGTAGGTACCACCGCCCTGCCTATTCCTGCCGTGAAGCAGTAATGCGTTTCGGTTTGAAGGACAGGGCAGCCGTTATAACTACACTGAGACCTTAGAACTCATATCTCAAGGTGGGTGGCGCATTTACGTTGTAGATGTCTAAATGCTCCAGTAACCACTTAACACCAGGTGAGCTCGTCCACACATCTAAACGGTTTGCTTAGGATTCGTTCGGACGTAAAATCAAGCAGCACAGACAAATCAAGAAACCTAATAAATACGGGTGAATTTAAAAAAAAAAAATGCTATCTTACGTAGGTTCTTATCTCTCCTAACAATCAAATGTGTACAGTAACATAATATACAGCAAGGTGTTATTGTTTTCGTTATACGAAATAAAACTATATAGTGAGGACATGAGGTATGTATATACTTCGTTTGGGCGCCAACTACAATTCTTTCCAGAGCGAATACGACATTGTTTGTTTTATAAATCGATATACCTATCTGAGGCCGTCAGCGCAAAATTGGCCTAAGCTTACCTTAGTTAGTATGGAGATAATGAGTTTTGAATTTACCTTTACAATACTTCGTAGGCAATAAAATATGCGCTAAAATGATGTTTAAAAAGTCATCTGTTATCTATGGATGAAACTAGGGATAGGCCGATTTTTCATCAAAATTTATTAGGTTTTAAATAAATTGCAATATATAAGCACGAATATGAATCTTAAGTTGGGCCACTTTTGCGCTGACTGCCTCATTTAACGCAAGCAAAATTGTTATTGTCGTCCCTTGCAAAGTTCTGATAAATTGCTGTTTTTTTTAATCATATAATATTTACCTTTTTGTTATAGGACCATCAACATTGATAACGTGTTTATGTAACTATCATTTCCTCTGGTACTGATATCGTTCATGGGGGCAGTCTTGTCGCAATAACATGGTTGAACCATAAAAGATAATAATGTATTACTGTTAATTATTCGTAATGCACGTTTTATTATTTATTTTTACTGCACTGTTATTCATTCAAGGTGTAATAAGCCAGAAGGAAATCTTATGTGTTTGTATATTGTATAGAGCAGCACTTCCCAACCTTTTTTCTTTCGTATACCTCGTAATCAAATTGTTCATTTATTGGTACGCCTCCCTTGATAACTTCCTATGCATAAAATTAGTCTTGTTTCTCTTAAGTTCTATCGGACGGTCGGTTCCTATTAAGTAAGCTATTGGTTATACGGTTCATTTTATACAACATTTTGTAGACATAATAAGAATGTTTATATAAATTAACTGTTTTACCTTAAATTATTTTCACGGGGGTCCCGATGGGGACCCGCGTACTCCAAGTGGCATGCGTATCACAGATTGGGAATCGCTGGTACTGAGTAATAAGAGTAGATAAAGATACTGTGGGTAGTTAGCAAACTTTTTTAAGTATAGACATATCTAGCATGTAATCACGAAGGACTTAGCATCGAAGGTACAGTACGTGCATTAAAATCTGAACTAAATATTCCATTTATTAAATGCTGATTTTAAGTGGTTAGGTTAGGTTAAGTACGCTCTTTATTTTTTCCACGAAGCAGCAGATGAATTTACTATGTCTTCATTGGATTAAAATCTTACCGAAGCGTATAGTTTTTAATCCTTTAAAAACACTCATTAAAAATATTTACACGGGTAAAGTGTTAACTGGATTAATATTAGCTTGAACGGTGCAAATTACATTAATCCCAGACTTTCACAGAAAAACACGGTACAGCGTGTGTAACCAGCTCAAGCAAAAACATTATTCATTTATTAAGTTATAAGCATAAATCTATGAATCGACGGCTTATGATTGGATCTATTTTGTAGTGGGGTACAGCAATTTGGCGTCATGTTTCGGTTTGCAGGGTGGAATGTGACCACTGCAGACCTAGCCGAAGACGGGCGCGCCCTAGATATCTAGTATTCAATTTAAGTAATATTCATAATTTAATACTTCGGTATTGTATCAAAAAGCACTAACAAGGTAAAACAGTTATCGTATGGTTAAGGGAAACCTGCGATTGAAAACTAACATCACAATTATGTTTTGTTTAAAATTGTTAATAAGTAGGTCGGTAGGTACGACCACGCTATGACTATCCGCTAAATGCATGAAAAATACCTATATCTATATATTAATACGTGAAGCAAAAACTTTGTACCCCTTTTTACGAAAATTGTGCGGACGGAGGAGTATGAAATTTTCCTCAGTTATAGAGAATATAGAGAAGGAGTGCAGAATGTAAATACTGTTTTAAGTGATGCATAAAAAGTACATTAAATCAATAAAAAAACATTACACACACAACACGCATGCATACTATTTGACTATATTGTCAAACTTTTCTTATTGCTTTTAGTCTGTGTTCAAATTGAGAATAGATTAAATAATATTTGTGTAAAGTGTAGTCTTGGCGAAAAATGTGATTATAGAAGTACGTGTATAATAAATAATCTTTGACTGTTTGACAATAGAATCATAATAGTGTACAAACTTATAATTTCAATTAATTAAAGTCGAATTTCGACTACTGCGGGACCACTGGTATTTAAAAAAATAGTTTCACAAAAGTTTTATCACAATGCGATGGATGCGCAGCGCGTAAATTACGAACAAACAGAAATACATTGATTTATATATTTCCAGTCTCTTTAATGCTGAGTTAGCTTTATGTTGCTTCGGGTTTTTTTTTCATTGCCTTTATCGGAAAACGAGCATACGGTCCACCTGATGGTGAATGGTTACCGTCGCCCATGGCCGTCAGCAATACCAAGGACAGAGCCAAGCCGCTGCCTATCAAAATTACGTGGCGTCACGTGGCGATATAAATTACTTGGTGGCGATTTCAATTAGATAGACCATGATTTTATACAAATGTTCACAACAGATAATCTGTAATTTCTATATGATGTCTGTTTAAAAATACCTTCATCTCATGGCGACCCATTATATATTACTTTAGTACCGTTACTTTAGTACATTAAGTTGTTTTTTGTAAGAAAAAGCCATACTTTGGTTTTACCTATAGCCGAAGAAGAATAACATTAAAGAGAGACATAACGGTCTTCATAATCTTCAAACAGAAAGGCGTGATTACTTCACGGCACAAATAAGTAAGATGGAGCTGTCTACACTAGCAGAGAATACCACCAAATAATCTTTATGCAGATTTAAAAAAATAAAACGGATTTATTTTCTAATTCTAATTTTCTTTATATTTATTTTATGTACAGTAAAGTGTACTCTCTCTCTCTCTCTCTTTCTCTCTCTCTAATTCTTTGTAAGAATAAATTCATGGTGGACAGCGAGACCTATATTCCGAGCCGATGTAACCTGCGACCCGGGCGGTGCGGCGTGGCGTTCTCCATTGCATCGCCGACAATGTTGTTACATAACGGCAATGTAACAAACAAATGGCCGATTTACATAATAGCCTTGTCGGTGTGCGATCATTACTGCAAACGCCTACGCCACGAATCAGCTTAACGGGATTTCTATTCACTAGGATAAGATTTAACCTAAGTTTAAAACATTTTTCGAGGAATACAGTATTAATGAATCAATACTAACATCCCGTAATATTGTCGTGTTTTCTTTTATTACATAATTTTATAGAATGTAAAAAACTGATAAAAAAAATATATATTCTATTGACGTACTGAGTTTATGCAACTGATGTAGTAACTATAATATTTATTACTTTACTGTTCGCACAGCGATGTCAGCAAGGGGCTCTTAATTTCTTCTAGCAGTCAGCAATATGACGTTCCCATAGAGTATCATGTGTCCCCACCATGAGAGGCCCATTCAGAATACAAGCATAGGCATTTATAGTAACACAACACCGTATCCGTTCTAAGCTGATAAAATACTTTCAACGATACGATAATTATGTCAACGTAAGTAAAACTTCATGGGAAAGTTACTTTACTATAATAAATATCTCTACATTACGTTTTCGAACATTTATTAACAAGTCAATTCCATACTGTATTAAGATTTTTTCGCAATTCCACTTACTGTTCTGGATGTTTCCTTACGCAAACAAAAATAAGCGTTAAGAAAATGTGTAATTCCACAAATGAAATGTTTAAAGAGTCACTCTGGTCAAAATAATTGACATTAGAACTCCTTGGGTCTTATTGTGCTGGTAACCAAACATTTGCTGGTAGTATAGGTAAGATAAGGTGTCCAAGTTCCGCTTATTTCCGCTGGACTAATCAAGCAATCCAGTTTAAGGGATGGGACATTTAAAATAAATCATTTGAATTTAGACCACACGTCTCTCCGCGTGTTGGCATTCGGGTTTTGAGACATTACGGGCATCGGTAACTTAACATAAAGCATTACTTAAACAAAAAAAACAATATTATACATTTTCGACAAAGAAAATAATGTGTAAATGACAATGATATCTTTGTCAAGCCCCAAACAATTAAGCACGGAACATATGGTTTAGTTCCATGACGGAAAACATTTTCCGTTAGATTATATCTGATCTTGAATCTCGACAGGGCAAAATCGCCAATGCGCTTTTAAATTGCTGTTAGTTTTTTAATACTTATGTTATGTTAGTGTGTTAGTATATTATTTTAAGCCTATTGTAGCAAAGTTCGCAATAGCGTCGAGCGGATCAGTGGCAAATATATTTACATGAAAAAAATTATTTAAATATTAACTGTACCAAAAAAAACCCCGCAAATCTTCATATTGTTGGCGTACAAAGTATCGCATTATTAAGACAATGTAGCCATCCCCGATAGCTAAGTCTAAAAATAGCTTATTTATTATTACGATAAAGAAAACGCATACAAGTTATCGTATTATTGAAAAAAATACATGACAATCGAACTGAATGTATTTTATTATATATACTTTATTTTGTAATTTTATGTCATAAGCGTGTAGTGCGTTGCCAACTTGTATGTTGCCACACTTTCTTACGTCACACGGTTATATTACTTCGGTCTCCGAATATTAGCATTTACGAAACATTAACAAAACTGACTGAGGCATAATATGTTATACATAATAAAACATACTTTACCTCGCGAATCTGTTGAAGTTGACGGAGTTGGCATATGCGAGAATCTCGGCGAATCGTACCTGTTGATTTAAAAAAAAAAATGTTTGTCCACAGCGATTTCGATAAAAAAAGAAATAAAAAGTTATAATCTTATACCGTACCCTAAAGTTTTATTATGTAGCAGTATCTTCGCGGTTAGTTCTTGTATGAGTGTGTTGACATGCAAGTTCTCGGGCTGTGGTTCTCCGCAAGGACAATGGCCGTTTCCTTTGATACACCTAAAACGAGATCAAGCCTTGTAATTATATTCAATGAGCGCGCTGAATAGTGAAATTATAAGTAATTTTTACAATGTGTACAAAAAATTAAGGCACTATCTACACTTCAACACACGCTGTACTTACAGCTGGTATCTCATTTAATTAAACTAATTAATGTTCGTCCAGTGATTGAAATTCAACTGTAATCAATCACCGACGCCTCAAAATTTAGATTCGATTTATGTCATTTTTTTTAATAGGTCTACTTTTTTTCTTCAGGCACAGCAAATTTTTCTCTTTCATTCTCTTTTATCAGACACTTTTTTTTATTTGTTAGGTGGGTGGACCATCTCACAGCCCACCTGATGTTAAGTGGTTACTGGAGCCCATAGACATCCACAACGTAAATGCGCCACCCACTTTGAGATATAAGTTCTAAGGTCACAAGTTTAGTTACAGCGGTTGTCCCACCCTTCAAACCGAAACGCATTACTGCTTCACGGCAGAAATAGGAAGGGTGGTGGTAGGTACGTCATTTCAACACTCACTCCTCTCTCATTTTTTGAATAGATCATTTTGCCAAAAACAAATAATAAAACAGTAAAGTTAATCAATAGTTACTGAACAAAAACAAAAATATTTTCAGTCGACAAACAGAAAGAGAAAATGGTACTTATATATACATAGAATGTACTTTATCATGATGCTATTTCTGTGAACAAATGACATTGTTATTTAGTTAAGTTCCTTTTCACATGTACTAGCTTGTACAAAGCCGGAGTGTACTATTATCATATTATAACACAATATGTCACGGCGACCGGACGGTAGCGACGCGCAGTTTCACCCAACCGCTACTCTGATACGGAGGGCACAATGGCATCAACGTTGTGCTTAGTGCGTGTTTTTTGACGTTCTCGATAGCGTAAAAGTTAGCATAAATTTGTATGAAATGGAATCGTTTGCGTACGTTTGCCGCTAGGGGCGCTGTTCCAACTGCATACAAAATTGGGTTAACTTTTACGCTATCGCTTATCGAGAAAGTTAGTAAACTCGCACTAAGCACACGTGTTGACTAGTATATGCGCTAACAAACAAAAGTGCATATCAAATGCTCTAAAAACTTTTGCTTACTCCACAGAGCCTAAATTTTATTCTTCGTAGCAAAACACGTAATATAGACTGGTCCGGTATCTTCTTTCACTTGGATTGCGGATTTGACTATGACGTCTATGCAATACGAGTAGGGCTATTCCATTCGATTTTATAGTAAAGGATCCCGTCTTCGGTCCATGCCCATATTGCCCTAAGTCGTCGTGGGTTAAAGGATAAGACGTCCGGTGCATTCGTATCTAGCGATGTAACGGTGTTCGAAACCCGCAGGCGGGTACCAATTTTTCTAATGATGATTCGTATTTAACAAATGTTCACGATCGACTTCCACGGTGAAGGATTAACATCGTATAATAAAAATCAAACCCGGATAATTATAACTTGCGAAATTACTGGTGCTAGGACCTCTTGTGATTCCGTACGGGTAGGTACCACCACCCCGCCTATTTCTGCCGTGAAGCAGTAATGCGCTTTGGTTTGAAGGGCGGGGCAGCCGTTGTAACTATACTGACACCTTAGAACTTACATCTCAAGGTGGGTGGCGCATTTACGTTGTAAATGTCTATGGGCTCCAGTAACCACTTAACAGCAGGTGGGCTGGGAGCTCGTTCACACACTTAAGCAATTAACAAAAAAACTCTTGTGAGCGTTAGTTGATTGTAAGTCGTGTACATGTGAAAGGTACGAAGTATGACTGACAGTTTTTCTTTGCGTAATTCAAAACGATAAGGCTTCAGGGTGACATTAGGGTGACATCAAGGTTCATCTATACATATAAATAAAATTGGAGTGTCTGTTTGTAATATTGAAATAGCCTCTTTTTACTACATGCATATGAATATATATACGGTACATACACCAAAATAACATTTTTTAGAATTTTTGTCTGTCTGTCTGTTTGTTCCGGCTAATCTCTGGAACGACTGGACCGATTTTGAAGGGACTTTCACGGATGGGTAGCTGATGATATAAGGAGAAACTTAGGCTACTTTTTTTAGACTAGCTTCGCCCCGCGGCTTCACCCGCGGTTATTGGCATAACATCGCGGGACTCGGCTATCAATAATAAAATTTGATGTTTCCGAAGCAAAGCGAGTGCGGGTCGCTAGTTAACAATACATTTAATCAGACGTAACAATAGACGTATGAAAGATATTCGTTCATAAGACAAATCGTTATTATTTTACACAGAGCGGGTTTTTTTTTCTGTAACAAAGGTTCGGACAAAACACATTTTTCAGAATACTAATGAATCTCGCCCACACTTCATTGTGAATTTTGTTAAAATGACTATTCGCGACTTATTGTAGATGAAGATTATGTTTTCTAAGCCTTTCCTGAAGAGTCAACAATTGAACGAAGTAACAACTGGTTCGGAAAGACGACGTGTAAATACAAGCAAACAGACTTACACAATTATAAAAAACTGGACGATCGAATCATTCACTATGATTTCTAATTATTTGATTCGAATGAATTTTTATTACCTAGAAACTGCAATAGCTTCAGGAACTACAATAATACGTCTTTAAATCGATAGGCAGCCCTCTAATAGCGCAGTCTAGATTGTTGAGATACATTGTTTGACGTATACTTCATCAAGAACAATATATTTCAATTTCAAGAAAGTTGTAACTTGTTGTTATTACCAAGAATCGATTGCATTTTATGAACATGTTCGTGATTGTATTTATTTAATAGGTGTTCGTTATTTTCCACGAACTTCGACACCGGGGCGTGAAAAATAAGTCGATTTTATATGACTTTAATTTGTCGATGGTTTTTAACTAATTTAAAGAAGTCTAATGTTATAACGATTTTGTAGAAGTCACCCAGTGTGATTAATATAAAAACAAAATTTACTGTTTGAAAATATAAAAACGCGTCAGTCTAATAACCTGTAGGCGTATAATCGTTATTGTAATTTTAAAAAAAAATTGCTTACTTTGTGCATCTGGTGTGTCCGCATTTGCCAGTCACGGGAAGTACGGGCATCAGTTTGCAATCTATGCACCACAAATCTTGTTCCCTCAGTACTTTGTTGAAGCGCGCGTGCCTCACTACTTTATTTGTAATTTGTTTCACTACTTGTCCACAGCGACGCGACTCCAAGACGGACCTCAAACAAATCGGAGGCGCACTAAGCTCTTGTTCCGATCCTGTGCCAGAAGTGACGTTTCCGCCGTCAAACTTCGGCGTGGAGTTCTCAGATGAGGAATCTAAAGTGTAAGAGTGCGCAGATTGATCATCAGTATCCATTTTAAAGTTTTCATCTTGCAGATCGGGCTGTTTTTCTGGCTTCGGTAGGAAGCCGCAATGATCCATAGCTGAATGGTGAGCTAGTGCCGCCTGAGATTCGTCTATTTCGAATTGGCCCGATACAATCGTGGAGGTTACGACGTGTTGCTGTGGCGTCTCATAGGAATGAGTAGGAGGCATATCCGGAGGATCCCAAGAAGGTTCATCATCATCGAAGTTGTTTATTTGAAAGCTGTTAAGCATGTTGGAATCCGAACTGTCTTCCTCCAGATTTAATGCTTCTTGTGTCGTACGACTGTGTAATTGCAATCGAAACGGCAGTGACAACGTTATAGACTGATGAGCCAAAGCTAAAGGCATAATCGGCGAGTCTGGATGTATTGGCAAAATCCGCTCATCTTGAATGTGTACCTGTATCGAAAATAATGTATTTATTATACAATGTTATCAAAGTCGAAATAGAAATAATGTACTCCGAAACCGCGGGCCTTATTCGTTAATTATTTTTGTAACACTACGTGCATGCCGCTGGGTCCTTCCTTTTCGAGAACGGTTTCCTTACCTATACAGTTTAAGAAACATTCGTACAAATTAAAGGTTGCTCTCGCTCGTACATCAACAATTGACTCTCTTCAATTTCAACCACACAACATACTGATAGCTATAATACAAAGAAGAAATCTAGGAAAACGTGTTAATTGCACGTAATATTCTATTTTATCGCCACTGTTTTGTACAAGCGTAAGTAGTGTTGAACTTGGCCGAGAGCACGGCAACCGGTTGCAGCGCCGATAAACGTCGACTCCGACTCTTGAGTAAGCCCCAAACGCAGAGTCCATGACGGCAGACGGTATAGCGGTCATGTTATGCAACTAACGCGATAACCACGCGCCGAGTTACATGCGAAGTCCTATTATGACTGATCGATAAACGAATGTTCCGAAAAATACAGTATCCGGTTGAAACGATAATGTTGTTAACATAATGAAAAAAATTTAAACAGTTGGCGTTTTTATTGGCGTGTGTTATTCGGAGATATTACACATCAGGGCATTAAAACCACTACTCAACTTTGGAGCATTGGCAGGACCGAGTTATCAAACCACGAATGCTTCTTTACGCTAATTGATTACAGAATAATCATATTAAAAAAATATAATATGTAAGGATATAGTGTTAAACACGATTTTTTAAAATCTCTTGTTTTCATTTTGACAACTTACTAAAAACCTTTCAAGGTACTAAATTGTAAAAAATAATTTCTCAATATTCTTAGGGGCGTTAGATTTATTGTATCGTAATTGGTTTGCTACAAACCAGTACATTGGTTCACGGTGAAATGTTTCATACGAAAACATCAATTAATATGAATACATTTACGGTCTTGATAATAACGTAGTGAATAGCAAGGAATAGTTACAGACCGCCTTATTAATCGACTGCCTGCTTTAAACACAATAGAGAGAGACAAAAGCGATGTAGTTAGGATTAATTACACTGCGTTTATTGATAAGCAGCTTAGTGTGTATCATTATGTACTCTCCCTCGATATAAGGTAAGTACTTCCTTTAGTTAAACAGTTGATTTCATGTAGTTAAGGATAAGGGGGTACTGAAAGTAACAAGTTTTAAGCACAATGCTGCTTTTGCCACCCACTCTGTGTAGATTCTGCAATAATTCTGATGAAATGGCAAAACTAACGCCTATACCGACTGTATTTACACAATCGGATACCTTCATCCGCTAAAGAAGCATCTTAACCAACTCACATCGTATCGCGTTTTAAATTTAGTCACTGATCTATTTAGAATGGTTGTAACTATTATTAAATAAATTAACAAATAAAATCTAAATCATTTCGTTCTTGTTGACTATTGCAAATTGATAGAATAATATATGAACTGTCTGAGTCTCTGTGTGTCTGAGCTTTTTTAAGTTTGATATAGCTGACCCGTCCGACGAACCGAAACCAATTCACATTGAAAACTCTGTGTAAGGTTTTAACTTAATGGTAAACGTTATTACGGAGGCTATTTTTTGCGTTATCATTAAAATATAAACACAGCATTTTGTAGCGCTTATATTCAGACTGCAAAGTGATTGGATTAACTGAATCGATTGGCATTGAATCATTCAAAAATCATACGAACGTAAATTATTCCCTATGTCATCAAGACGAATATGTTGGAGTTTGTAAAATATACCTTGTATTACAATTCAAGTACCTAAACGTTTTTGAAATGAAGAAAAATCCTTGAGCTTCTGGAATCGTGTAGAAACAAGAATGTTCAATGTTGTTTCCGAGCGCATTCTTATGAATAAGCAAATAGCAACGGAATCTTAACAACAAATACCGGGTGGGTCTACATCACTTAGCAGTGACATATTGCAAAAACAATGCTCCCTGCATTATCATATTCATTGCTTTATTAAAATGTGATTTAAAAGATCGTTTACCTTTTTGTACATTAACATTTTTATCCCTTCGAAACGTTTATTGATGTCAGACGGAATGAATTCAATTGCAAAACAAAGGACAGATGACTAGTCATGATCTAGAATCTTATAATTAGATAGTAGACACCTAAATATGTTGATTATTTTAGTATAGACGAACGATCGAAAATGTCCAACTGTTTTGCTAACAATACAATATACTTGTTAATATCAATTTAATGTTAATTATGTCAATTTAATTGTACACCAGATACACGTTGACCGGAGCCCTTAGAAACCTCAACGGGATTATTGAGATACGGGATACGCGTCTAGATATTGCGTTTAATTAATATTTGGAAATCTGCTATTCCGCCTTAAAAATCAGAATACATGATTGCTTTGCCACAGAAATAGGGAAAACGATGGTGCCGATATAGAAAACTGAAATGAAGACCCGAGTCCGCAGATGACTGATAATTACTACGATCGACAGTTTTCTTAAATAAATCGAGTTTTTAGTTCAATTCTGGGTCCCCTAAAATCCCTCCCACATTTATCACGAAATGGAATAAGAATATATTCGACTTCTTAGAACATACTCTTGGCTGGATATTGTTTTATGATCTTATACGAGCTTGTAAGTCTTTTCAGATAACAGCAACAACATAGGGAGTGTAACAAAGCAAAAATAATTGTAAAATTGAAAACGAAATATGAAGAAAAACATTTGTTTATAAATAAGGTCTCGTTATACTTTCGGAGAAATAAAGCCTCTAAAATAAAACAGATATGTCATTTTATAATAAGAATATTGAGTTTGGTCAGTTCACTGTACCACTGTACGATTTGTACCCCGACCTACCGCGATTGGCTGCACAACCGTCAGCTTGCTGGTAGGGTGACCACGGATACCGATTAATCGCACTCAATTCTTTTTTTGACTTATAATTAATTAAGGATCCCATTAGTTGTGATCACCACTAATGCTCCATGTAATCCTAAGAAAGTTTTATCGGAAATCTTAAACATTCTGCCCAGACCGCGAAGAAGTCGCGAATTCCAGTTCGAAGGGTAAACTGTAGCTATACAATAAAATTAAGACTCAGACCTCAAGGTTGTGTGACATTTATGTTGCGTATGAGGTCCGGTAACGACTTAATAATAGGTGTGTCGTCAGTTCTTCAACCCAGTGCAATACAAAAGACAATTTCCGACTATTGTGCTATTCAGTTTGTTACCTACGGTTAGGTGGTAATTGCAACAAGTAATATTTAAACAAAGCAATGTTCATAATTAGCACGATTTCATAGAATTCGTGAGGTTTTATATACCCTGTAATGAAGGGCATATCTTTTGATATGTTTTTATCTGAAAACGTTCCACCAACGTCATGCCGATTCTTAGCGTTCTATTATTAACTTTTAGAGGTTGAATTTAGTTCATTTTTGTTCGAATAACAAATATGTACATATATCATGAGTTATGTGACAATTATCTCTAAGGAGAAATGAAAGGAAAAAATCTGTTTATACTCGTGATATGATGCGCACTTATATATGTTTGTGGTTTTGTTTGTGGTTTTGTTTGTTTGTATTTGTTATATTGTTAATTTGATTGCGTTCAAACGTAATAGTTGTTATTGGCCTCCGGGGAATGTTTCTTGGATAGTCCAATCCACTTACATGCTTTGAATAATTTTTGTGTATCTATTTTCTTTTGAAGGCGGACGAGCATGCAGCCCACCGGATGGAGAGTGGTCATAGTGACTCATGGACTACAAGGAAAATCTGAGTTTTTTGCCTATCTATATGCCAGTAGACTCGAGGAACCATTATGGCTTCGCCTTTATTCGTGGGCGAGTACAAGACGTCAGCATGACAAAATGTCCTAACATCTGTCCTAGAAAGAGCAGTGCTTCGCTGAATCTACCACTGATCACTGAGTAGATCCGACGAGAAACTCAGTGGTTGAATATTAGGGGTTCAGCCGAGTCCCTGCCTAACGCAAGTATTGAGAGTTACAGCAAAGCAAGTATAACCAGGTTATGTTCTGCTGTTATAATATTCACAAAGATACATTGAACCGTTTAATAATACCTACGTATTACTGACGTATCATTACCTACAGATACGTTTCAATTTTATAATAGAGTTGTCGCTCCCATATAATTCACTTCGATCAGATATTTCTTGTAGTATTGAGTAAGGTCAGTATTACTTATTCAAACTTGAAGATCGTATCAATGGATCATTAACCGACGTGATAGAGCTGGAGACATCTACATAATAGATTGATTACCAATGGCTCCTGTCATTGCTGATGTCCATGAGCGACCGTTACCACTTACCATATTTTCATCTTATCACATTTAACATACCGATTTATATATAATATTAAATGATATATTAGTAAAGTATTTCAATATACTTAGTCTGGCCATAAATACTATTACAAAGGAAACAAAAAAAAGTATATGGCAAATAACATTTATTACTTTTATAGTGTGTTAGTATAATACATAAATATAAAACAATTTAAAGTATAAAAAGCTTATTCGAATTGGTCTCTCTTTCTGTCACAAACAGAGGAGGTCTCATTGCACCTACTAAGAGCGCGGTACACAAACATTTTACTAATACCAAGTGTATGGAGAGTTTTAAAAATTGCATTCGGCTCCATACCTACTTTGTGTAATGCTATCACAGCGATTCGGTTCTCTTTATCACCCCACTCCATTTTAATATCGCAAAATATTGTACAATGTATTGGCGCCAAAATGAGAAAACTCAATGAGTAATCATATAAAAATTACAGATTCCAAATTCAAATGTAATATTTTGTTTATTTTTAATTGTAATAGTATTTATGGCCAGACTAAGTATACCTACACTACACTACACTAAATGTTAACTACAGTTCATTACATGAACTACATATTATTATTATTTCGATTTTAATTCCGATAACAACAT